TATCATGTGCATGTTGCTGTCATGTGCACGTTGCTGTCACGTACACGTTGCTGTTATGTGCATTCAATCCACAAAACCAGCTAAATATTATATTTATGATCATTTTATTGAAACTGATATATTAATAGAAAAATAAAGTGCATTTGGGTCAATGCATAAAACGTAGAAATTCAAAATTAGCCCAGTTTTCTTGGACGGTGGCTTATAAAAACTTTTTGTGCAAAAGAAAACTACAAAATATTTATCTGAAGTTTTTTTAAACATAGAGAAAGAAAAAGTGCATCTATCTTACTTTTGACTAAATATATTAAAAAACACTTACTTATTAAAAACTTCTGGCTGAAGCTTCAGAAAATGACGGAACTCTTCCTGAACATAATAATGTGAACTGATGACTAAAGCTGCTCTACATTCATATTTCTGGTTAGAAACATGTTCTGGATGAAGAACAATTCTCTCTGTGCACTGATTGATCTCCAGCTGTAGAAAATACATGTTCTGAAGAGACACTTGATGCTGGAGTCCACAGGTCGGTTTTTGTGAGACGTGTCCAAAGTGCAATCTCTGCCTGGTGCTCTTTCCACCAGCAGAGGGGATTTCTCTGCCGCTCCCATTCAGCACGCTCCTCTGTGGTTCTGTGACCAAGAAGACCAGCTGGACCGTATGACGGCCTCGCTCTCTTTGCTAGTGGAGATGACGTCCTTCACTGGTGCCTCATTAGACTCTTCTGTCTCAGTTTCAACCTGCTCCTATAGAAGCATACCAGAAAAAGGAGGTCTAATAAAACACGTTTCTTTGTAAGAATTGAGTTTTACCATTATAAAATTTACCATAAGTTAAATCCAATCCTCCATCTTTGACATATGGAAATACACATTATAAGCATTTCTTAAACATAAACAATTCATCAGGGTAATAACAAAAACCTTTTTTTCATAAATTGGTAGCACAGTGATGGTGTAATCAAATATGAAATGGTGGTCTGATCTCTCCTGACCATGAAACCACCCTCCTGCAGATGTGCTGACCCCCATCATTGGAGAGGAAGTGGATCCACAGCTTCTGCCACATTTAAATCTCTTTCTGCTCATCTCTAGTTCAGGTCCTCAAAAATGGAGGATTGTGTTTCTTTCACTAATACAGAATCAGATCAGTTTTCTTGTAAGTCATGGAGGAGCTGAGCAGGAAGGGATGCTGCTGATAAGGCTGGGGAGTTTTCCTCAGACATTACAGGTGTAGCTGCATAGATGGGCTTCATGGTGTCCATGATCTCCTCAGCAGGTGTAATGTCTGACTCCCCCAGGGTGCAGACCTCAGCAGGGGTAATGTCTGACTCCCCCAGGGTGCAGACCTCAGCAGGTAATGTCTGACTCCCCCAGGGTGCAGCTGTTTCACCATCAGTTAGGAGTTTCTGTTCAGACACCTGCAGTAGATTTTGGTTTTCTCACCGTTTTCTTTATTTGCTTTTGGACTTTTTGTTTCTGAAACTTTTGGAACTACGTTAAACCAGGAAGAACTCATCTCTGCCTGCCTCCGGCTCTCCACGCCACCTGACAGTTTGATACAGTTTTGTTGGATTAAATTGAACCCATTGGACTAATACTTCAGTCTCTAGAGTTTCCATAGTTTTAAAAGTACAATTTAGGCTCCATCTTTTTTTTTGTTATATTAACTACTGTATTTGTGTTTACAGAGCTGGATTCCTAAAATCATCAAGAAAAGAGTCTGCACTACGTATGTCGAAGACACGTTGAGGTAACTTTCTTCTCTGAGTTTTAACCCTTCAGGCAGTATTTTAGTTTAATTTATGTTCAAACAAAAGTTTGACCTAACCATTATTTTCATCAGTCATTCACCATAATTATGTCATAAATCACGACATATTTCACACCATCTTTCACACAATATTAACAGAGGAATTTTTTATCCAAGGGAGAATTATTATAATGTCCAAGGACCTCTTAAAGTTTTGTTTTTGTTTGTTTATTTGTTTGTATTTTTGAGGACATAAAGATTTCCTCATTTTCTCTTAATTCTTATCATCAAATTATTCACAAAAGTTTATTATTTAAAAGAGGAAGAAGATTACAAAATGATAGTAAAAGAAACAAGTTTTGTTAATTGAAATATCCAAAATAAATTATTTGCAGTTTTGGCTCTAAGAAGATTCTCCTCTCCTAGAAGATTTCCCACTGTGGGACAATAAAGGGATTTTCTATCTTTTCTAGTTGAATCCTTTTTCTAGCATCTCCAGTTCAAATGAAACGGTGTCCCTGAATATTACTCATTCAGATCTGTCAGTCATTTGCAAAACGATGTAAAAATAGAAAAACTGTTGTTGTTTTCTTATAGTGATAAGAACTGCCTATGAACATGAACATGGCAGCATCATGCTGTGGGGAAAAGCAGGGAAGGATGAGGGGATAAAGTATGGAGCTAAATCCAGATTAATCAGGAAAGAGAAAAACCTGTTAGCTGCTGCAGAGGACCTCAGACTGGGTTAGGTTCCTT